AGAGTTTGTTGGAGAGTATTTTTTATTGAAATCTATATTCCTAACAATTAGAAATGATTTAGAGAGTTTTCTTGGAGTTGCTCTAACAGTAGCTATCTTTTTTAAGGCCTCTCAAATCATAGTTGAAAGAGAGGCGTTTCCCAAAATTTTATGTAGCAGTGCTAATATACAAAACCCTTCGGACCAATAGATGGTCAGAAATATCTGTTTCATTTTCAGTTTTTCATCGGTCACTGACAGCGCAACCTTTATAAAGAGAAAAGTCCATAGATTTAAAACAATCCCGGTGACGTTGTGTTTACTTAGAACACAAGCAGCGGCGGATCTAGGATTTGATGGAAGAAAGGCTGAAGTCATCTTCAACGTCTAGAGCCTCTTCTTTCTCTCTTTCATATCTACAAAAATTAGGAGGGATTCAAGGAGGGGCTCCATTGTCATGAAGATGGTAGGAGGGGCTTGAGCCCCACCCGCCCCACCGCTAGATCCACTCCTGAAAACAAAAAAGTTATTATATATATTCTCCCGGTCCCACAAGCATTGTTGTTCTAGCATTTGAATTTTGTCTCATAAATTACTATTATCACTTTTCGCACACCTTTCTATTCTCTCAAAACATCTCTATTTCTATTCCTCTTCTTGCCGTTTCCTGTGTACCATATCTTTTTCACGTCTGCTTAATTTTGTGCCTAGATCTAAAATAACACTTAATATATGACGGAGGGAGTACGGTACACTGTGATGTCTTCCTCCGTCTGTCAAGGAATGGCGTTAGTTTTTTTTTTTTTGAAAAGCAAATTTATTAGCGGCAAGATACCGCAATGATGGTGAAACAATCACCAATTACAGAGCTCAAAGCTGTCAAAGAGGGACATCTGTTTACATGTGTTGGATTGGTGCAGGAAGCTGATAAATCAAAGTGAGTCCTATTTGCGAAGCTAAAGGCCTCAGTGGCTACTGGCTAGGACATGTGCTGTGGTGTTAAGCTTCCTATGAATTTTCTCAAGGGCTTAGCTGCACAAGCATGGGCGGGAGAGATTCCTCCCTGCTTTGTTACTGCTTGGCTGCATACTCTCTCAGTCCTGATCTCTTATTAATTTTCATTTTAGTTCTAGACATGAAATTAAGAGGAGTGAAAAAAGGTATAGTAAAAAACGAGAGAGAAATGTATTGGAAAAAGAGAAAAGTGTATTGGTAAGTGAAAATGGAAAATAATTTGAAACAACTATAGAAGGCTAGAATAACTCTTGCTATGGGACGGAGGGAGTAAACTGGACCTGCATGGGGAAAGCCACCCCCGGGCATTGCATTAGAGCATCTCCAAGAGATTGTCTAAAATTAGTTGCCAAATTTCATATTTTAGCTATTCTGTAAAATAGAAAACTTCTCAAAAGGAGACTCTACAACAGCCTAGCTATTTCTCATCTTCTATATTGAAAAGTTCGAAGTCACCTGCCCAAATCCCAACCGGGCAAACTACCGTGATGGTGCCTGAAACACAGGTAGTAGCATCTTCATCATGCTCACATTAGAAGCAGCTCCTTTACAGAGTTCATATCGATGACATTGCAAAGTACAGATCATTGACATGGCTCAGCACAAAACTGTATATTCCGGCACAATATAGATGAACTTTGTCAAGTCTGATCACTGCAATTTCCAGAGCTAGCTGCTGATCTCTTCGATTTGTTCTCTCGGAGTAGTAGCCTAGTACTCTATTAAAAGAACAACATTGTCTGCTAGTCTGCTACTACTCTGGGCAGCCGTGCAGGTGCAGCGGCAAGGTGGCCAGCAGAAACCAGCAAGACATCTGAGTTTGCTACACAGGCGCCAGAGTTCGGCGGCCTCCACAGAGCCCTCAGTGCGGGTGCGGGTGATCGATGACTAGTTAAGCTATGCTGTTCCCCACCGTCACCACACGCCGCCATGACCGCCTCCTGCAGCTCAGCCGGTGTGGGGCACTGGGGCGGCACAGGGACAGGGAGGATGATGACGAACGCAGGCACGCAACTACGTGAATTTGCGTATCCATGACAATGTTGACGAGCACCGGCACCTAGAGGGAAGCGACGACGCCGTAGAGCACGACGGTGGTTGTGGACGGGAAGGGTCGAAGCCAGACACCGGCTGGGTATTTTAGAAAGCCATATATACAATATCTGTTGAAGTCTATTTTATACCACAAATTATCTAAACTGGATTCAAAATCAAAAATAGCATCTATGTTGGAGTTGCTCTTAAGAAGAAGAATGCTCCACCCATACACAGTGGCACCGTACCCCTATGAGGACAGGGCCGTTCCTTAGACCTGTGCTTTGGAGTGCCGAGGGGATTTTTTTAACCCCAACCTAAAATTCGTTCTCACGGGAAGTCGAACCCAGGACCTAAGGAGTGCCGCTGGAGACGTTCTAACCAGTTGGACTAGAGGCCATTTGGCACGGAGGAAGTAAACAATAGTTTGCAACTTATTTTTTTCTCTCTCCCCAACCTAGATAGAACAGGTAGATGATAGTACATTCATCACAAAAAGAATACAACTCAGGCATAGTCTTCTTAAATAAAATATATCTAAAACATTTATATCTAATCTGGAGTAAATGTTAATGTTATTTTCTATAAATTTAGTTAAACTAAAAAATAGTTTGACTAAAGACAAAACTATAGCTGCATTCTTTTGGGGACGGAGATTGTAACACCACATAGTTTTTATGAAGTAGTTCCCCCCCTTTGTCTTGGATAAGAAACTTCACAGAAACAATGTAACTCCCAATGAGAACTTGTGAAATTCAGTCTTCCAAAGAGGGCCTTTGCTTAGTTGAAGAGGTAGAAACTCACAAAGGAGGAGTCATGAACATGACACTAGGTAGATGGCGCGCGCTCCGCTGCGCGTGTAGGCGGGGAAAGAAAAAGTTGAATAGCATCAAACAGCGCCCGAAGCCCGGAGGAGGAAAAAAACGAAGAAAAAGAAAAACTAAACACTAATGAACAGTAAGAGGAGGTGCTCAGAGGCTAGGGATTCCTGAAAGTAGTTAAGTTATGTTTGCTAAGACTTCGTCGTCGTCAAAGGCTAGGTCATCATGAGTTGTAGTAACCGGTTCTATTCAAGAGTCTCTAAAAATTCTCTAGGAACATAAATACAACCATCTATAATTCAATTTTTAGGGATGGTGAAAAACACCAACTACGTCTAAAGATATTTTTAAAAATTTAAAACATGTATTAAAAATAAAAACATTTTTTAATCTAATGAGAAATCATGTAGTAAATGTTATTCTTTTACCCTAATGCTTCTTTACGGTCGCGCAGGATCTAGCGACCTCGCATGCACATCCAATCTACCGTTGATTTTTATTCTTGGGCTTACGCTGCCATGCGGTTCCGGTGTTCGACCTCCGTAATTTCCATCCATGAGGTGGGACCAACTCATTAACGCAAAACACATGGATTTTTTTTATCTCTCTCCCTCTCTCTTTCTCACCGATGACCACCGGCGCCGGCGCCAGCGACCGGCGAGCTCGCTGGCCATGGCAGTGTCGGCGGCGGCAGTGAATCTGTGATTTGTCCTTATATAGAAAAAAAATTATAATCTGTGATCTATGGAGGCTAGAAGTTGGAGGTAGAAAAAGGTGGAGACTGTTGGATCTTAATCCTATGGTATAAAAAAATTTATGTGTTGAAACTATATAAAATATATGGTTTTGTAATAGAAAGGCTTTTGTTCAAAAGGTGCGAGCTTCCTCGCTACCATGGGACCGCCACGACTGCTAGAAACATCCGACCCGTGCTCTGGTGCGACAGTAGCAGTTGTAGATTTGCCATTAAAAGCAGCGGTAGCAGCTTACTAGAAAAGGAAAGTCTGATTAATTTTTTTTTCGGATAAGGAGTGTGCATGCCGAAGAATAATAGCACAGCCGGCCGTGCTGTAGTATAATTTATTATTTTATTATATAAATTTGGTAAAATTAGAGATGATTTGATTCTATAAAAAAGTTATAATAGCTTATAATTTAGGATAGAGGGAATATAAATAAAGGCAAAATGACTAGGCTTGCTGTGCTGAGTGCTGACTCGTAAAGGGAGTACAAGCCAAGGCAAAATGACTCGCTAGGTGTGCTCTAGTCACAGACTCAGGACTTCTAAAATTTCTGTCGCATCAAATATTTAGATATATGTATAGAGTATTAAATATAGACTAATTACGAAACTAATTATATAGCCTGCGACTAATTTACGAGACGAATCTTTTAAACCTAATTAGTCCATGATTTGACAATGTGGTGCTATAGTAATATGTGCTAATGACATATTAGCTAGACTTAAAAATTTGTCTCAGAAATTAACCTCCATCTATATAATTAATTTTATAATTAATTTATATTTAATATTTTTTATTAGTATCTCAACGTTCGACGTGATATGAATTTTAGAGCGCCTCGAGAACGAACGCCCCCTCGTGCAAGTTCGGAATTCGGATGTTCTCTCCGGCGCTGGGGAACACTTTCGAATGTCCATAATGACAGGCCCAACCTCACGGAGCCTACCAGTACCACTCTCGCAGACAGGCGGGCCCCGAGATGCTCTCACTCCCGCCCATCGTCTCCAAAGTCCAGCCCCGCCGCCCCCAGCACCAACAACCCCCCACCACACGGAAGGGCGCAAGGCGGAAATTCCCCACGCGGAAGCGTTTGCCTCGTTGCTTGGCGTCCGTCTGCCGAAACAAAAGTCCGTCCTCCCCTCGTCGCCTCACCTCACCTCCGCCGTCGCCTCCCCCCACCCCTCCACCGGCCCGTTTGACCCTCTCCCCTTCTCGCTCGTTCCCCTCCTCCGCCTGCTCCTCCGTCCCCGTCCTAGGTTTAGCGCTCCACAGAACCCAATCACCACCACCCCCCGCGCCGCCGCCGCCCGAAGAGCAGTTGCCTTGCCGCTTGCTGCGGGCCCATATGGTGGCCCCCGCGTCGGCGTGAGGGCTGCGCGCGCTCGTGCTGTATATCGGGAGGAGATAGATGGGACCCGCCGCCGGAAGCGGCGTCGTGATCAGGGCTGCTGTGGTAGGGCTCGTGCTGGTCGGCATCGCCCTGGCCCCGCCTCTGGCCGCGGCGCTGCGGCCGCTCCGGGAGCGCGTCGCGTCCGTCGGAGCCGCCGCCTCGGCCGGTTCGTGGGGCGATGAGGTGAGACTGGTGCTGCGGGACTTTGATTGATGGGTTGGAAGCCCTTTCCCCCATTTTTTTGTATATAACGTGCAAGGGAGCTTATGTGAAATTAGCGAATTGAGAGCTTAAGGTTCGGTGATCGGATTGGACGATATTTGGAATATGGTTGGTTTTGACTTAATTCTGTGATGATGGTGGGTTTCATTTTGTGGACTTGCACTGGAGACTGTTCCCATGGCCTGCGGTTGGATGGCTACGAATAGGAATTGGCTGTTTCGAGTCGAAGTTTGTTTGGGAATCAACTTAGTGCATATAATCCAAATAGTCATTTGAACTGCCTATGCTGTGGGTTCACTTGACTGTAAGACCCAAGTGCTTGTAAAGAGTCTAGGGAGTTAGGAGTACCCAATCGCTCATGCCATTTCTACTTTTGAATGATGGGTAGGAGATAGTTGAATGCCAGCTCTAGTTGGTAGTCTTTGGTTGTTAATGGCAGGGATGCTAGCTGATTGTAGTCCTGAGATAACTAGTACTAGCATCTGTTGCTCTTGAACTTTTAACTCTATTGGTATGTTTGTGACTTAGCTAGTTGCTAATCTCTGTGTTTGTGCAGCATGCCTTCTTCAAAAGGGATGAGAACGATATTGGCCCATATTCATGGAATATTACGGGAACGTATAAAGGTAACCTCTGTTATTTCCATAGTCCTGTGATGGTTATGCGATACTTGTTTTTTGAGTATTAGCTTTGGTTTCCCTTTCTCTTAAAATTGTGTTTTGTTAGCTTATGTTTCTGTTCATTACTCAATATGAATGACCATTGTTTTTGAACTGCATAAATTAGGATGATTACCTGCCTTCAGGTTTAGATATGCCATGTTGGCTGGTAGACAAATCCAAGTTAGTTAGGGTAGACTATAGATGAAAACCCAGCAAAGGGCCATCAAAAGAGTTGGCTGGCGGACAAATAGTCAGATATACCATTTAAAGCATTGGAGTATGTCCTTTAATTCTTAAGAGTTCACTGTTGCAGTCTTTGAAATTCTATTATCTGGGATGTCTTTTCTTTTGGCATTACTGATTTTATTCTTAAGAAACCAAATGATATTTATTTTATTGTGCTATTCCAGACAACTGAGTGGCATCAAATCTTACTCTTAGTACCACTACCATATTTCCAAAATTGTGTGGTTTCTTTATTTTTTCTGTCAATATTGTTTAGAGACGTCCTTGTGCCTAATGTGTTCCTCATGTTTGCAGATAATATTGCTGAGACTCTAGAGATGTCTTGTTCTTAGGGTCCATTTATTGCTGCTATGTCCTACAGTACACATATTGGAATCTTTAACATTTTCTTCAATATTATGCTCATATGCTGTAATGACTTCAGAGAAAGATTGAAGCCATGGTCACTCCCAGTAAAAGTAGTCGTGTGAATATTTATGAATATATATATATCCAATGTTAAGTGCACTGGCTCAATTACCATAGTCTTGAAATAACCTTAATAAAACATACACAACTGTGCCCCCTCCTCCCCTGAGTGTACCCTATTATTGCTTTGCTATATATTGATTACTACTGTTTTTGTGTCAGTATCACTTCAATTTGTGTATAACACTGGTTCAAAAAATTTGTGTACTAACATAACCATTTTATGGTCTAGGGAGCTGGACCTTTGCTGGTGCCACAAATGGTTCATCTAGGTTTCTTGAGTTTGTGGAATCTAAAGGTGACTCAGTTCTTGAATTGTTGAGCACTCCAACAAAGATAAGTGGGGTGCATTATGTTCAGGTAGATTGAGCTCCTTTCTTATTACTATATTAGTTTTGAAAAAAAAACTATCACATGAACCAAGTGTTGTGCCTTGGCCATACTTGCTTTTCTTTTGTCATTCTAGTTAAGCCCACATGAAAGAAATCAGGTGTTTGTTTCATTTTCAACCTGAGTTAACTGTAATCAAGAATGCTATTGCAAGCCTAGTTTGTATGCAGAGGTTGCTCTTGTTTAGGGTTATAGTAAATAAAATGACACTTTTTAATGACCAACCCTTGAGCTAACTATGATTATGGATGTTGTTGCAAGATTGATCCTTTTCCTCAGTATGCTGTACTCACTGATTACTTTCCTTACATGGACAGGGTTCAATTACATTCCATGATGTCATTGACAATGCCCACGATGGTGGAGTGGCTCAAATAAGGTTAGAAGGAGTGTACATATGGCCTTTTAGACAACTCCGCATGGTAGCAAACAGGTAACTGCCTTATTTTCTCTTTGTAACTGAAGGTCTGTTTGAATTTCATTCTCCCGTGGAAAGTTTCTTGTTAAATATAAATATTTTAGACGCCTTCCTTTTGTTGTATGACCTAGTGAAACTTTATTTTGTCCTTTTTACTTTTTAGTGGTGCAGATGGTGAACCACTTCAGGAAGAGGATTACTTTTTGTCAAATCCATACCATTTGGTAAGCTCACAAATTTAGCTTGTTTTGTTTTTGATGAGTAGTACATGGATATTATTTCATAATGTATCGTTCAAAATTCTTTTGTTGCTTCCTGAGTTTTCACAAGCTTCTTGGTATCCATCATACCTTTGTCTAAGTTGTCTTCAAATCAAATGTGCATTTATCTAGTACCCAGAAGATCTCTTATAATTAATGAGCATGTTTATGAAATATACTTTTACCTGGTTGATTTGTAACAGCTGCGGATTTTCTCCTCTCAAGTGTTCCAAGAATCTTCTGAAGAGAAGAACCAAAGGAAGAATTGTAAGATTCAAATTGTACACTCAAATACTATATATCGCCTCCTGCAATTTTTGATGTGTGTTATTTCCACCTTACCAGCTCTCACATATGACATGGAGAAACATTGCAACACAGAAATAGCTGCTAAGGTTGTTCGTGTGTCATCTAACCCAAATGGTATGTAATTCCTTTATTCCACAATCAATTTGTTGTGTTTCATCATAATTTACATGTGGCAATACTAAACTGTTAGTTGGTAATTTCCTCATATTCAGTTACAGATGAAACAGTATGTGCTTTTGTAAAAACTTTTTGTTTAACTAGATGGAGAACACGAGAAGTACCGTTTGGAGGGTTTGGTGGAGAGTCCAGCTGTCGATGATGATGGGGAATGCTTCTCTCCTATCTTATTGAATGCAACTTCTTTGAATGTTGAAGTTTATTACAACAAAGCAGTTAGCTACACACTGATGGTCACTTTTGTATCCTCTGTGGCTGTTTTTTTTTATGTTGATTTTATCTTTATTGGTCTGTCCAGTCTGTGAATTCCTTAACTAGGGTATGGTAGATCTCTTTCCTTCAAGTTTTGCTGCTGATTAGACAAATGGAGCATAGCAACACTCAATCCGTAAGCACTTTTCCCTTTGTGAAACATTTAGTAAAACAAAACCACTTCATTACATGGCTTCCAAGCTCATTTGCTTGGGTTGCTTATGTATTGCTTACAGGGAGCTGCTAAGGTTTCTATTTTAATGATTGGCCAACAAGCTATCATGGATGCATATCTCTGTCTACTTCACCTGACTGCTGGGATATTGGTTGGTGAGTACTGTGACTTGCATAATTTGTTTGTGCTCTGTTCTCTGACTTGTAACATCTGCTAATAAACTAAAACATGACCAAGTGGGATTTCAGTTTTTTTTTTTGTTCAAGAATTTGTGCCTTTGTGGTCTGTATTTGGTTATATTTTCTTCAATGTTCAGTTCCCTTCTGGTCAGTCACTCAATGCATTATTCTAAAAACCTGGTCAAAGTTAGAGAAATTTGTCATAGGACAAAGCTAAAGTGAACTATATTGGGACATGGAGGGAGTATTGGCCTGCTTAACTTTTATTACCACTTCTGCATTGTGATTATAATTGACTCGAATAACACTCTTATGTGTTTAACTTTCTACAGAGTCACTCTTTAACGCCTTCGCAACGGCTGCATTCTTCAAATTTGTTGTATTTTCTATTTTTGAAATGAGGTACCTTCTCGCCATATGGAAAGCAAGTAGGCCTTTAAACAGTGGAGAAGGTTGGGAGATAATGAGGCGAGAGCTGTCTGTACTTTACAGCCGCTTTTGTAAGTAGTAACTATGCTCATTTGGTTTCTTTTCACTAAGAATCACGCCGATTGGAATGAATCCTAATCAACATAGTTTGCATACAGAGTGGTGGCATGCTTCTTGCCATATATTTGTTTCTATTAGAACTTACATGTGCAATCAATCTGACCTTTCCCCTGTTAGCTGGTTCTTGTCTACAGCATACCTTTGTTGCCCACTTACCTGCTGCATGTAAATCACATTTACCCATGTTTTAGTTGGTAGGTGAAGTACTTGGTGCTTGCTATAAATGGAAACCTGGATATTCTGTTAGAGCTTTTAGAGTGTTCATTTCCTTTGTTAACTTGATACAAGATATCTTACCCCCTCCCCACCAAGGGGAAAAAAACACTTGAAAGAACTTATAGTAGTATGTCATTATTTCAAGAGATGTGAGCTTGTTTGCATCTTCCACATACGGTACAAATTTTTACCTTTTTCTTATCCAACTTTAAGGTATTCTTTAATTTGCTTTGTGCTCTGCAGATGGCATTCTTTTGGGAGGAATCCTTCTAATGTATGAGCTGCACAATTTCTTACGCCCACTTCTTCTCCTGATGTACTCCTTTTGGGTACCTCAAATTATCACAAATGTCATCAGGGACACAAGAAAACCTCTGCACCCGCAATATATTTTAGGCATGACAGTTACCCGCCTTGCTATTCCATTGTACATATTTGGATGCCCTAGTAACTTCATGCGCATTGAGCCCGACAAGAAATGGTGCATAGCTGTTACAGTATTCATGGGTATCCAAGCAGCAGTGCTTCTGCTTCAGCACTATCTTGGTTCTCGCTGCTTTATTCCTCGCCAGGTATTAACTATATAAGGTTTACCATCGCGCATGCATTGTGTTCTGCTGTATCATAGATGCATTTTAGTTGCCATTCATGCAGCTAATCTGTTCCTTCGAAGGCTGTTTAGGTTGCCACTGCTGTATCGAGCTGTTCCTTATATTGATGTTCGTAGTGTATTTTATTAGTATCAGTTTTTAGAAGTAATCTATTGTGTCCACTTTCTACTTTTTTCAGATACTGCCTGAGAAATACTGCTACCACAGGAAGGTAGAGGATAGCACGAATCAGCCCATCGATTGTGTTATTTGCATGACTACAATCGACCTTACCCAAAGAACAAGTGAATACATGGTAAATTGTGCAATATTTTTGGCATTTCACTTTGCAGGCAGCTTTTACTGGTTACTCACCGTCCTCCCTCCCACAGGTGGCGCCTTGCGAGCATATATTTCACTCAGGCTGTTTACAACGTTGGATGGACATCAAGATGGAGTGCCCAACTTGCAGGCGCTCCCTACCGCCAGCTTAGATGAGGCTTTGTACCATATAGTTAACAAGAGGTTGGTAGCTCAGCTTATACAAGGGATCATGACATCCTGTACCTTTCCCCCCCAGAAAATCTAGTTTCCGTGCCCTCCATTTATTGTGTACGTTGATGTTTATAGGTGGGAACTGAGGCACAACAAGGTGAGGCTGCAACCGTATGAAAGCTATCAACATAACTGTAGAAAAGTTTTATGCTATTGATTTCAAGAGGTCTTGTGTTGTACAAACTATTGTATCAAGCATCCCACGGAGAAATCGTCCTTCCCCGCCTATGCGGTTTTCACTGTTGCATGCCTTTGCCAGCTACCAGTATTTCGGCCCTGCGTTCTGGTCTGAGCGTTGTACAAAGGCTGTTAACACTGAAAGAGTTCCAGATGTGCATTCTTGATTTGGTGGACGCATTCTCATTTCTACACAATGAGCAGAGCATTTTTTCTGCCCTGGAGTCACGCTGCTGACCCAGTTGTTCGATCTGGTGTTCGTCCTGACGTTTTTCAGGTACGAGACGTGCAGAGTGGCGGGCAGTTCAGCACTTGGTCACTTTTATTTTTCCCAGCTTCTTTCGGCAGTTGTAGTTGGATACGGACGAACCGGAGGCACGGGCGCATCTCGTTGCCATTTACCTATGTCGGCCTTCCCGCAGGCCGCATCTCATTGTTCCCTCTCGTCCCCTTGCATTGCCGTTGTTGCGCTACAGATTCTGGGTTCTGGCACCACCTAGCCGCAAAGTTGTGAGGCGCACGACACTGCACGACCGACGACTGATTGGGCGCGCAATCCGCGCATTACTCGCCGTAACGACCGGCTGTAGGGGCCGCCGATGGCGCGGTCCGGCACAGCCAGCAGCCACCCGCGCCCGCTCAGCTGTTCGTCAGCTCAGCTCCGCCCAGAGCTTTCGTTCCCTTTTTTTTTTAACGTGATCTTGTGCTGTGGCCTCTCTAGTATCTACTGGGCTCGCGTCGCACGTGAGTGCCGCGCCGCGCCGCACCCGCGCTGCCGATCCGTCCAGCTCCTTGCCCGGCTGTCCCCCTCTCTAGCCCGTTCGCACGTGACCCACCAAAACCAGCTTTTGGCCTTGGCAGCTTCGGCGTCCGGCTAGATTCGGGCATTTCTTTTTAGTAAATAATGCAAAAAGGAGTTTTTTATTATTTGGAACGCAAAGCTTTTTCGAAAATCGGCTCACATCCGAGTGCCGCCTAAATTTCTTTTGAGTTTAAGCTTAAATCCTGACCCACATCCTGGCACTTCCGTTATTATTTCTGTTTTAAAATCAGGGGCATGTTTAGATTGTAAAAAATTTCAAATCGATGAATAGTAGCACTTTCGTCTTATTTGGTAAATATTGTCCAATCATGAACCAAGTAAGCTCAAAAGATTCATCTCGTGATTTCCAACTAAACTGTGCAATTAATTATTTTTTTACCTACATTTAATGCTCCATGCAAACGGCTAAAAATTGATGTGATGGAGAGAGTGAAAAAACTTGGAATTTGGAGGTGATCTAAACAAGGCCAGGGTAGGAGTGGGACATTCATTCTCACAACCAGGAGAATCCGTGCAGTTCTTTTCAAATCCTCGAGGGTGGCTCGTGAGTCGTTATCACTCATCAAGATCCAGGAACAACGTGAGCTGCTCTACTATAGAAGTCTAGCCCCTGCGACTCTGCGAGGCTGCGGCCAAAATAAAAGAAAAAAAAAATCTGCGACCACATCGACTCCTTCACCCTGTTCGCTTGCCTTTCAGCTACGAGCGATGTTTTTTTCTAGCAATATTTTAGCATAAGTATCAGCTAAAATTTCAGCATACAGGTGCCTCCGTTACTACTGTCATAAAAGCAACCACCCTAGCACCGTCTAATCGCCATTGCTCTACTCAATTCTGCTCTCAAATCCAGACAGCTCATTTCGATTTTTTAAGCCTTTTTTTTTTCTAAACGGAACAGGAAGGAGCAAGGCGCCGTTGAGAAAACACGGGGGCGTCCTCTCAGATTTGTACCGAGATGGAGCTTCTTCCGTAAATCCGTGCGAGTTTTCAGCGTGCTGTAAAATAAATAAACTCTCGTACTTGGAGAGCTAGTGAAACGAAGAGGAAAGAGGGCAAGTGCGGCGGAGGCGCAATGCGGTGGAGATCCCCTGCCGTGCTGCAGCTGCGGCTGTGGCTGCTCGCCGTCTCCGCGTCGTCGGCTGCCCTTGGTGTTCTTGCGGCTGATCTTAGCAAAGGTGAGCTCTTTTGCATGCGTCTAGTAGCTTGAGATTTGGCCCCCATGCTGAAAATCTTGCTCAATGCGGCACAGTGGCCGCCAGGTCCTTGCATTTGTGCTGCTGGTGGTAGTGCGTCTTCAGCGAAATCTAGTACTTTCTAGTCAATTTTTTGTGTTTATTTGTCTTTCTTCCTTTCTTTTATCTTCTTACCTCGTAATCCAGCAGTGCTAGGTTCCTCAAATTCCTCGCCCAAGAAAAGAAAGAAAGAGAAGCCCCTCTTAATTCTTGAAATTTCGTTCATTGGTGTTTGCATTCTTGGTCAAATTCGTTGTTGTTTGGTCCCAGCCTGGATGCTTTCCTACAATATCCGTCTTTGTTTTTCCTCAAAAATATCCATCTCTGTTTAGCTATAGGTCCATTTCTGTGGGGACTGGGGAGTACCAGATAAAGAACCGAGTCTTAACCATTTTTAGAAACTTTTGTGTTCATTCAGCTGATATCGGTCGCCTCTTAGCTACTTGTAAGTAGTACAGTTTTTGCCCTTTCTTTTCTTGCTGACATGTGCATACATTTGACTATTTTGCCATATTTAAGATAAAATTGCTCAAGTTAGGACAAAAGAGGAAGGGGGCATGTGAAACTAAGTATTCCCTCAGGTTGGTAAAAGAAGTCATTTTGGACAAGGTTTGGGTCAAACAATGGGAATATAAATCATGAATAACTTTTAAGTTGTTGAGTTTGAAAATGTGAAAACCACGTGAATAGATTTGTCTTGAAAAATACTTTCATAAAAATATATACATATATCACTTTTCAATAAATATTTTTATAAAAATAAGAAGTCAAAGTCATGCTTTGGCGACCGTGTCGTTGTTCAAAACAACTTCTTTTACCAACCTGGAGGGAGTATAGGTGAACAAAAGGAAACACGGAATCCTTCCATTCAGTACGCTAGACATTCCTGATTCAAAGGAACACTTGCTGTGCATATAACTCACATGTTACATCTCTTGCAGCAGCTGTTTGGTTTAATTTCTCTGTCCTGTAGTTCTTAATGCATGTTTATTTTCAGAACCATTTACTATCCGTATAAGCTGTGGAAGTTTCGATGATGTCCGGACGGCGCCTACAAACACATTGTGGTACAGAGACTTTGGTTATACTGGAGGCAGGTTTGCAAATGCCACTCGTCCAAGCTTTATCATTCCTCCCCTGAAAACGCTTCGATATTTCCCGCTATCTGATGGCCCTGAAAATTGCTACAACATCAACAATGTTCCCAGCGGCCACTATCAAGTTAGGCTTTTCTTTGCGTTACTGGACAACCCTAATCTTGACAGCGAGCCGATTTTCGATGTTTCTGTTGAGGGTACTCTTTTCAGTTCTTTGCTTCTGGGCTGGAGCAGCGACGATGAGAAGACATTTGCAGAAGCTTTGGTTTTTGTCCAGGACTCAAGCTTATCAGTTTGCTTCCATAGCACAGGTCATGGTGATCCATCGATTCTTTCTATTGAAGTTCTACAAATAGATGACAATGCCTATAACTTTGGCCCACCATGGGGAAAGGGGGCAGTGCTTAGAACAGCCAAAAGGTTGAAATGTGGCTCTGGAAAGCCTGCCTTTGATGAAGATCTTAATGGGATTCGCTGGGGTGGGGACAGATTCTGGTTAGGATTGCAAACTTTATCATCCAGTTCTGATGATCAATCAATATCAACTGAGAATGTTATAGCAGAGACATTGCTCGCACCAAATTTTTACCCTCAAAGCATATACCAATCAGCTATCGTGGGCACTGATAGGCAACCGAGTTTGTCTTTTGAAATGGATGTTACTCCTAACAAGAACTATTCAATATGGCTTCACTTTGCAGAGATTGATAATGGGGTAACTGCAGAAGAACAAAGAGTATTTGATGTACTCATCAATGGAGACACTGCTTTTAAGGATGTAGATATAATTCGCATGACAGGAGAGCGTTTTACTGCACTTGTCCTGAATAAAACTGTTGCTGTCAGTGGAACAACACTAAAAATCATCTTGCAACCTGTGAAAGGAACCCATGCTATTATTAATGCCATTGAGGTGTTTGAGATAATCCCAGCTGAAAAGAAGACTTTGCCTCAGGAAGGTTGTTATTCAAATTCTCCATACTCGCTACTTTAATTTTTTTCTAGGTGTACCAAAATTGAGTAAAGTTTCAATCTTTTGTTTAGAATCTTGCAAAGTCTGAACGAGTAGCACAACTTATGGATTTTTGTTTTTCATAGAACAGTAATTCACACGAGTGCTACAAGGAACTGGCTATCAGTTTTATGCTTTAATTGTCTTGTTTTCAATGACCTACAGTGAGTGCATTGCAAACGTTGAAGGGTTCACTTGGTCTTCCTCTTCGACTTGGCTGGAATGGTGACCCCTGTGTTCCTCAGCAGCATCCATGGAGTGGAGTTGATTGCCAGTTTGATAACACCAAAGGGAACTGGATCATTGATGGATTGTACGTTCTCTAGATCATGCTCATTCTACGATTCACATCACGTGCCAGAATTGATGTAACGGATTTTGTTTATTGACCATTTGAAACTAAGATAAACCTGTGCCCAAATTTGCTAGTATATGTTGAGATAAAAAGATAGCAATATTACTATTATACTATCTGCTTATTTATTTGAAGCATAAAAATAAATGTAGCAGATGCATTCCAGTAACTTCAAACTAGTACAAATGGAAAAATTTAATGAATAAACAGTCTCTAACTGAACTTCCAAATTTTCCATGAGCTGACATCAGCTGACATCCTTTATTTTCTGTTCTAAAGTATTCCCAAATGGACGTTGAAGCAAGTATTTTAGTGGCCTGAGGCTTACAACATCTTTTTTTATCTCAAGGCTTACAACATCTTGCTCTAGTCTTGTTGCATAATGCATCTAAAACTGTCAGGTCTGCTTAACAGGTCACAGAGTTTTTTCTTAGTTCTTGTTGTATTGTCATATTTATGGGCTCAACCACAATGTTTTTGCTTCCTGTTATGCATTAGGATTTCAAAATTATTAGTCAATGGTAGTTCATACTTTTTTGCTGCAAGTTTTTAATACTACTACTTGAATGTGCAGAGGTCTTGACAACCAAGGTTTAAAAGGGGTCATACCTAGTGAGATATCTAAGCTGCAACATCTGCAAAACATGTGAGTTTCTGTATAGAACACTGGCATGACTGGATGACCACTTGATATTATTCTGTTTACCAGTAGTTTTCATTATCTGTTAAAGTGAAAAGCCTGTAACATTTCACAACAATAGCTGGAATTATTTTTTAAATATGTGTATCTTATTAAACCTGTGCAACATAAAAGACCACTGGAAACAGGTTGAAGCATCAAGAATCAGTTTAATGCTGCTCTGTAATTGCTCCACGTCATCAGGAAGTAGATGATGCAGATTTTTTTAGTGTTTAATTATGTTTTTCTGCACAATACATGAAAAACAGCTAATATGGTGATCACATATTTAACATGCTTTCAATAGTTTTAATTATGAGACTGATTTTATGGCATATGCTGAGAGTAATAATAAAAAGAAACTGCAAACCCCTTGCAGCACACAGTTTTAGCTCTTAAGAATATGAGTTGCTGGCCAGAACTGGTTGGGTTATGGTCCATGGTGACATGGTGTCGGTGTTTCGGAACCGGGGGTCCTTAACCGACTAGTGAATTTGTGCTGCGTGCTCCCAATTCTGGATGGAGATGCAAAGAGACACAATGTTTATACTGGTTCGGGCAATGGATGCCCTACGTCCAGTCTGAGAAGATGTTCTTGTATTCCTTGCACCGGGGTGCTCGTAGTAGGGGGTTACAAGCTAGGCGAGAGAGGGAGTTCGTCCCAGGTCTCTGTGAGGGGAGGTGATATGAATTACAGAATGAGGCGTGTTGTTCGTGCGAGTATTCGTGATTCTATCCGTCGTCCTAGAAACGGTCCTGGCTGCCTCCTTTTATAGCCGCAGGGAAGAAACCAGGAGTACATAAGAGAGCTACACGTGGAGTAAGGACTATTCGATGACGTATTTACTCATGGAGCAGCATGGCGTTGTCGTGGGAGTTCCCGTAGATGTCTAATCGGTATGGTCTCCATCGCAAAGTAACATGTCGCGCATTTGTTGACTTGGTGGATTGCAGAGGCTCGGCGGCCATCGTGGCCGGTCGTGCCGAGGCCTCATCTTATGCCGAGGTCTCACAGCCGAGGCCCGAGAAGTGACCCAGTGCGCGTATGCGGTCTCAAAGCAGCCATCGAGCGGAATAGTGCGAGACGTCGCGCCTCTGGGATACTGCACCACTGTATTGTTAGTAAGGCATGGTAGAAAAAGGTGATCTCGACCGTTGTCCCGTCGCTCCTGCTTACAACAAGACCGCCGATCGTGGCTTACGAAGGCGGAGGTGCGATTAAGCGCGTTAATCGGATGCGATGACGACGCCAGAGAGACTTTTTGAGGCGGAGGCGACGAGGTTATGGATTTGCCCCGGCCTCGGCGAGCGCGCGGTACAATTGGTCTCGAGACCCTACACCGGGTCCCGGCGGCGGACGGGCAAGGCGGAGTAAGATCGCTGAATCCGAGGCCCGTCGAGGGGCTCGGGCGAGACGGAGCGGTCGGTCCGCCGATTCCGAGGCTACAGAACCCGCTCGACTCCCCACGTTGGCGATGTCCTTGAGTGCGGAGTTAAAAGACAGTGGTCGGTTACCCTCGCTCTCTTCTGTCTGCCGTCGCAGATGGCGGGGAGGTTGACGCGATCGGCGTGTAGTCGGTCACTTACTTGTCTTGTGCCATCGTCGGCCTGTCGGAGTGGTTGGGTGCTTGGATGCGACGTTCGGTCGAGCGGTTTGGTTGAAGAGGCGGCCACGGGTTTTCGGTCGGTGCCGAGCCGGCCTCGCGCCGTCGGAGAATCGGCACTTCTTCCGAGGCCCTCGGCGAGGGGCCTCGGAGGGGCCTCAAGGGAGTCTCAAGTAGTCTGAGAATCGCTTCGCTTCATTGGGGCTCGGCGACGGGGTCTCGGGCGAATCGGAGATTTCGGCCGAGACCTCGCTCGCTTATTCCGTTGGTTCTGCTCTTAGGGTCTAAGCAGTTTTTTTCGACCTTTGCTTGGGGTACCCTATTTTCGGTATCCGACAAGAGTCCCCGAGCCTCGGGGGAGTGTGGGATACTCTCCCGAGGTTTTTTCGAGACTTTTGTTTCTCGGGGCTCTTGTCGGGTTCGTTTTATACATACACGATTCCGGTTGGTGCATGAAGCCTTTTCTGGTGTAGCCCCTGAGGCCCTAGAGGAGTGAGTTTACTCCTTTAGGGGCTTTTTCTTCGTTGAGTAAGGCGCTCTATCGCATTTGCTTGACCCATGAGAGCGAGCTTCGGCGGGTCGCTTGTTTGGGGTGCAGGGAGGAGCACCCGAGCCTGCCGAGCCCCTCGCGCGTGCGATCCTAGGTCACTGGGTCTCTTTTCGGCAGGTTTGCAGTTTGAGCCCCGAGCCTCCCTGCAGACGGAGCGAGAGGGCGGTCGAGGGAAGATCTCCCGGCTTTTTGTACGACCCTCGCGCATCCTTTTCGCTCGGAAGGAGGGGTTGTTTGCCGAGCCCTTCGTGTGAGCTTAGGTCACTGGGTCTTGGCAAGGTTTGCAGAAGAGCCCCCGTGCCTCTCGCGTGGCGAGAGGGCGATCGGGAGTTCCCTGGCTTTTGTATGCGACCCTCGCGCATCCTTTTCGCTCGGAAGGAGGGTGGAACATGTCGAGGCTACCCTCGGTGGCGCGAGCGGTGACATTTCCGTGAGCTTTTATCGGGTAAGTCCGAGTGGAGGCCCGTGCCCCATTCGATAGGGGTCGGCTAGTGGTCCGTAGACGCTCCCAAAAAGTACCGAAGGCTTCTCTAGCGGGTGTCGGGGCTGCTTCGATTGGTCCCTAGGGGCTCGGTGCCTCCCTATGGTGGGATCCCTTTAGAGAACTCATGCTTTGTCTCGGACACGACTTAGGGCATCCCAAGCAATCGCTTGCACGGGCCTCGGCCATGTCTTGCCCATAGTTGTCTCTCTATCCATAGTTGTCCCCGACTCTGGACCGTCCCCGAGGCGGTTCCTGTCGAGACCATAATGGCCCACCTTGAACCTCTGGACCGTAATGGGCTTGGTGCCCTTTTTTTTCGCGTTGTCGCTGGATGACCCCTCGGGATGTGAGAGGTTGCGAGAAGAGCCCCCCTCCGAGCCTCCCTCCCTCCTTACCTTGTCCGCAGCGAGAGGCGATCGGGGAGTTCCCTTGGCTTTTGTGCGACCCTCGCGCATCCTTTTCGCTTCGGAAGTAGGGGTTGGTTGTTTGCCGAGCCCTTGGCTGCTTACAGATCCTAGGTCACTGGTCTCGGCAAGGTTGCGCGGAAGAGCCCCACGAGCGAGGGTTGTCACGCCCGTCGAGCCTTCAAAGCTCCAAAGACCGCAGCGGCCATCCTCTACATCCCGATCGCCCCAACCGGGGCTGTGGCTCCATTTGTTTCGCATCATCCAACCGTCGTTGGTATGGCCAATGACCGGTTCTGTGTTCTACCTTCACCTTCAAACAACGACGGGTATGGCTTCCCCCTTATCTGGGGCGGGCTTCCCCTTATTTGTGGAGAGTCACCGGAGAAGTGGGTGCACGCGTCATCAAGCCCGATCGGCCAGCCGGAACCGCTCCCGAGGGCCCTTGGAAAGTCAGCGTGATTGCGGCCTTACGGCGGCCGGCCGTGGTCGTGGCGGCTTTTCACACGCCGAGGGGTTGCCACGATGGCTCGGCGGCGGCGCTTGTTCGAGATGACCCCGCGATCCGATCGAAGGCATCAAGATGTCCGCCTTCACCCTTCATCGATGAGGAGATCCTCGTCGAGTAAGGGAGGCGGTGGATGGGAAACCAAGATTGACGGCTTGATGTCGTTCCCGGCGCGCCGCCGCGGGTACATTTCCATGGTAAGTTGGGTGTTGCCGAGGCCTTCGCGCCTTCTTGCTTTATTGCTTTTTTCGCCGCTGCCTTATTTCGCTGCTTCGCAGGGATAAGGGCGTCTGCTCCCCACCGCCTGCTCTCGAGGGCGCCCAATGGCGAAGCCGTGAATAGGGCGCACGCCGAGGAGCGTAAGAAGAAGAAAGACGCCAAGGTGGCAAGGCGCACGAAGAGGATCCTTGAGCGAAAAAGCTTAGACGACGCCGCCGCAGCAGAGAGGCTCGACGGGTCTCCGCTGGAGTCGTCTCCCTCATTCGGTGTCGGGTTCCTCCTGCTAACGCTAAGCGCCGGTCGAGGAAGGGAAGGGTACTCGGACCACCTCCCCGACGTTAGGGAGGTGGCGACCGGGTGTCTCTCGGTAGACGTCCGTCTCGTTGTCGAGGGCGACACGCCCGAGACGCAGCGCTCGGCTTCGCCCGGCCGGGGCTCGGTGGAGGGGGGGCGCAAGCGAGGGATGGCTCAACCGCCTCTCTGCGGATGGTCGAGGGGGTGCCGGGTCCGGCGGAGACCAGCCGATACCGGCATCGGAAGGGTGAAGCCGTATCGCCGCCACCGCCGCCAGCCCGTTGGAGGAGGCGCTATCCGAAGCGGTTGTGTCCTCGTTCGCAGATAAGTGTATTTTTGGCGGAGTTTGTAGTATTTCCTTGCCCTCCGGTCGTCGATCTTCGACCTTTAGAGCGCGCCTTCGCTTCGGCCGAAGCGTCGGGTGGAGGAACACGCTTTGGCGCCCGTAAGGCGCTCAAGGTGAGCACCACTCACCGCTCATCGGGTGGCGGGGCAGCAGCTGCCGTCTGACATGGCGTCGGCCCCGGAAAGCCAGCCTGCTTGAAGGAAAGGGCGCCGAGGTGGCCACTTGAACGATCGGGGAGGGAGCCCACGCCCATGAGGTTGTGGGTCTTGGGCGAATGAGGCCGAGGCGCCCACCACCGCCGAGGCCGTCCGGGGTGAGGCCAGAGCCCCCAATCCTTCCGAGGCTGGGCGGTGAACGCCGGGCCACCGAGGTAGAGATGGCAGAGACCAGAGCCCCGGGTCCGCTTGAGGCCGAGGTGGTCGGGATGAGCAGGCGGCGTGCTTCTGCACCGCCCGCGGTTCAAACGATCTCGTCGAGGATTCTTCCTGTGGGAAGGAGGCGGCGACGATGAGGCGGCCAAGACTGCGAGCGGCCGGGTCCGACCCTGCCGAGGGGAGTTCGGTCCTTGTCCGGTCCGACCCGAACCCATGGGGGGGATAGCCCACGTGTTGTATGGGGAAACCGGGCCGACCACGAGGGGGAGCCTGTTTGCCCTTGAGGACGCCGCCGGGGGGGCTGCCGACACCCTCGAGCAATACTGGCCAATCAAGGTGCGATCGATGCTGATAGCGATGATGACTCCGCCTTGTTACCTGTGTACGCATTTCCCTTTGTCGTGTCGCGTTGTTTTTTCTCCGAGCCC